TTTTTTAATTAATAAATTAACTTATATTAAATATAAATAAATTAATAAGGGCAGTAATGTAATTAAGTAATTTTTATAATTTTTATTTTATTTTAACCTATCGAAACAAGAAGTAATCGTTGTGATAAATGTGTGATTGTCTAACCCTAACCGATCGAAACCATTATCAAATTGAGTGCGCAAGTGATGTTATAATAGTGATATCACATGATTATCACACTCATATCACACCAAATCGTTTAGTGGATTTCACCCGTAATCGTTGTGATAAATGTGTGATTGTCTAATMATAACCTATCGAAACCATGAGTAATCATTGTGATAAATGTGTGATTGTCTAACCCTAAACGATCAAAACCATGATTAAATCGAGTGCGTTGTTATGATAGTGATATCACATGCTTATCACACCCATATCACACCAAATCGGTAATCGATTTCTAAGTTAACCCTAACTGAGCGGAATCCTTGTGATAATTGTGTGATAATCACATGATTATCACACCCATWTCACACCAAATCGTGTTGATATAAGCGATAATGTGATAATTGTGTGATAATCAGATGATTATCATACACATATCACATGATTATCACACCTAGTCTAATCCTAACCTATCGAAACCATCCGAAATCGTTGTGATAATGTCTAACATAACCCATTGAAACCATAATCAAGTCTAGTGACATTGATATCACATAATTATCACAACTAATCGATTAAAAACATGTTCAAAACGAGTATTTGTGAAAGATACCTTGAATAAACTTCTTCTTGCTGTTCGATTGTTGCATGCAATAGCTTCTCTTTGATCGATTAGGGTTCGTGTGTTCTTGGTCGATCACGGTCGATCACTGTTGTTTTGCGATTTGATGTTACGACTTCTAAGTCTCTTTGAATTCTTAACCGTTTATTAGATAATGATAATCATAATCGTATAATCGTGTTAAAAGATTTTATGATATCATTTTCATTATTACCTTTTTAATTTTAATATTTTCTGAATCTTTTTAAATTTCAATTTTAATTTTAAAAATCTTTTAATTTTATTTTTTATCACAATATGAGGTTATTGGGTTGTTCTTGTATTCTCGAAAATCACAGGGGTTCTCGTTTGAGCCCTTCCATATATATATATATATATATATATATATATATATATATATATATATATCTATATAGGGGAGCGATCAAAT